GGGGGCGACGTTCTCCTGGTACGGCCGGAGCCGCTCGATGAGGTCCGTCTTGGTTCCGGAGACAGGAAGGCCCCGCAGTTTCAGCTCCATCTTCAGCTCGGCCACCTGCAGGAAGGAGGGGGAGCGAGCTTCCTGAGGGAGCGGAGGGGAAGGAAGTGCGCAGCCCGGGTCCCCGAAAAACATACCGGCATTGAGCTGAACACGCCTGATTAAAATGACCACTTCAGTCCAGCTGTTCTAGTTCCCTGCTCATTAACTGCTCATCGTCTTCCTGAATCAAGTACTGTATCTGGGTGCCAGTCCAGGAGACTGGAGCTGTTAAGCAGCAGGTTAACGGAAACGCAGCGTACCCCAAAGCTGAGGTTTTTGAGTCTGGGGTTAAGCCATCTCTGCCCGTTAACACCGACTCGTCCCGGGACGGGTGTTTGAATTTGTACCAGTTCTGCTCTTTCTTTCCCCGCCGTGTGCGCTGTGCTGTTCTGTCGCCGTACGCGAGACTCGGCTCGTCGCGGGGAGAGACGGACACGGGGCCGAGAGAGTCGGGCTCACCTTCATGTCGTCCAGGTTGGCGGGCAGATGCCCCGGCTTGCGGAGGGCCAGGCTGTTGTTGGGGCGCGCGGCGCTGCCCACGCCGGGCAGGGACACGACGATGGAGGTGGGCACGTTGTTGTTGTTGTTGAGGGAGGCATTGGCAGTGCTGTTCTGGCCATCAGCCACAGGCCTGTGAGGCAGGGAGAGAGGAAGAGGAGGGGGCATGTACTCCAGTGCCACAACACCTGCCAGATAGCTTCAAGAATCCGCAGCGAGACATGAACCGCAGCACACAAGCGAAAGTGTGGGCAAGCGCAGCACACTAAGGGCAAGTGCATTTACACTCAGAGTCACTGTGCAGGGGGGTTGTGGGAGTGTGGAACAAGCTGCCCAATCAGCGACGAGCAACCCAAAATAGGGCTATCTATGCTTTAACGGCCACGACTCGTTTGTTGTCTTCTTAAATGTTGTTAACATCTGAGCTTTTAACAATATCATCTGGGGTCATTAAAACCAAACGGGGCAGCTGCAGCTTTTGTGAAACTCGGTTCACAAAAAAACATCCGGGACGCTAATGGCGGCCGATGGAGCAATACGTAAACATCCTGGCGCTAATTAACATCTGGTGCAGAACGCGGAGCTTTAAAGGGCACGAACAGCACGATAAGGGTGTCTGGAATTCTGACGGTTTCACGTGGTCGCGTCTGTACAGGAATGGCAATGTCTCGTGTCCCAAGGAACGTCTGGGGCTTCGGGGCTGGAGTTGAGAGAGAGAGAGACCTATAACTCTCCTCCATGATAGATGACTTACAGGGCACCACAGCGCAACCGCAAAGCTTACACTCCCGCAGAGCCTGGAAAACTCACAGCTATCGGGCAGTGCCAAAAATGTCTTCCTGTCGCATAGAGATGTACTGGGTCACTTGCTGGTTCTGGCTGGGTAGCTGCGGAGG